CTGGTCGAAGCGAATAACGGTTCGATTTTGAACGACAACATACAGCGAGAACGACTTCTTCGTTTGACAAGACAAATGGGCGTAGGCATAGATTCTCTTCCCGCGGTACGCTTCGAATCCGCGGAAGGACGAAGAGGTGGTAGTGGTTTTGACGACGAGGAAGACGAGGAAGACAAGGACGATCACGCGAAACAACGCGACTGCTTGACCGTCGGTGCTTTCATATCACCGTAAGATGAATACATAGATTGCCGCGAATTTTGCAAGGTGAGCGACGGTGTTGATTACCGCTATTACGATCAGGTGGGCCTGATTCTGAACAGTCGTCGCAGCCGGCCCGGAGCGTACTGCATGCCAAATGATGCGGCGGTTTGTAACACCAATACATCTCTTACCCTCTACAGCAAGCACGGCTGGCGATGCATGCCGCAAACACGCGCCTTTGCCGGCGAAAGCGGCAATCTCATAACGGTGTGCAACGGTGCACTGCTGGATCGCGCAACCGGCAAGACCTGGCATCAGCATATTGATCCATCACTCACCTTCGAATCGATAGACGAACGATTGCCGAGCGGAGAATACCGTTTCGTGTGCGCGGAAATGGAACTCGACGAGCGCGGGAACAAAACTACCGAAGCGCCGATCGACCGCTTGATAGCTCTGCCGAATGCTTGCGCCTCGCTCATTCCCTACTCAGACCCGGCGATCAAGCCCGACTTTGAAACCGGCCGCTGTTTTTGCGGAGAGAGAGCCTCGTACGACGATATGACCGGTCTGTGCGCACCAAACGTCATCTCGGAGACCACCGATGCGTTCAACCCGCGCACCATGGAAACGAGGCTGCGGCCGGTGTTACTTCCGGGCCCTGCGTGGAAACTTGGACAACAAATTCGAGGGCTAGCGTGCCGACTCGCGCCAATGATGACCCGCGCCCACTGCTCTGCGGCATCGAGCATAATACCGACATGGCTGCTGGAGCCTCGTTTCCTGCATACGTTCGAGCGTACGCGTTTCTATTCGATCGAGCCGTGCCATCTCCATACGCCATGCTGCAAGGATAAAGCAAGCTCTCTTCTCTCTCTCTCCCCCCTCTCTCTCTCTCTCCCTCTCTCCCTCTCTCCACCCCCCCCCTCTCTCTCTCTCTCTCTCTCTCTCTCTCTCTCTCCCCGATGTAAAATTGGCACATCATTATTATTGCTTTCCCGGTAGTCTTGTTTATGTATCGATTGCACTGCGCATACCAGCAGATTATTTATTTCGTGATATACAGGATGTCCCATTTTAAAGGATCCACTCAAATATCTCAGAAAATATTAAGCAAATAAAAAATGTTTCAAATAAAAGTTGTATAATTTCAAAGAGGACATGTAACAATTATATCATTGTGTTTACAGATGGTGCTACTTTCAAGATATTCACTGATTATTATTTTTCTTAAATGGAAACCCCAATTTTTATTGTATCATCTTTTTCTACGAACTAATTTTAACAACTTTCATCTGAAACATTTTTCTATTTGCCTAATATTTTTTAGATATTTAAGAAAAACTTGATAATTTCTTCGGCTTCACGCTCCCGTATAAATAGCCGGCCCACGCTGCCATTCGCGTCTCTCTTCCACGTTTTTTTTTGTAGACGCGTTATTTTAGGGAAAAATGTTTCAGACGAATGTTATATGGATAGTGGTTTGTTTACAGATAGTGTCACTTTCGAGCCAATTCATTAATCATTATTTTTCTTAAATAGAAACCCCAATTTTTTATTATATCATCTTTTTTCTACTAATTAATTTGAATTTTTGTGTGAGACATTCTTTTATTTGCCTAATATTTTTTGAGACATTTAAATGGATTGTTTAAAATGGGGGGCATCCAGTAAAAGAAGTCCCCAAACGACGTCACACGATAAACACCGTCCTTTACAATAGACGCACACTGAGAAAAATATCCGAAATATGCGATTGTTAATTTCGTTATCCGATCAAATATCCAATTAAATACACCGAATATTTGATCGAATAACGAAATTAATAATCGGATATTTCTGATACTTTTCTCCGTGCACTTTTCGTAGCGTCTTTATACAATTCGTTAAGAGGGTAATATTCCATAGCTATAGGTAGCGAGACGATTCGGCGAGACGGTCAGCGGACTATTTTATTTTATAACCTGAAGAAAGTCTCGTAATTTAGTGTATTACGCTCCGGGCGAAAACAAGACCCTTTCTTTCTCTCTCGAAATTCTATTCTCTTAATACGGGGTATCTTAAGAATACCGAAACCTTCGGATAACTTTGCAAGATCAAATTTTCATGAAGAATTTTAAATACAAAAGTAGAAAATCGAGTAACGGACTTGATGACGATGCTATAAATTTGAGGCTACAAACTTTTGTTATTACGAATTGCTATAAACTCGAGATGACCTCGGGAAAAACCCAGTCAAGATCAATATAAAAATCTTAAATGAAAACTCGAATTTTTTATTACATCGTCTTTTTCCACCAATTAATTTGAACAACTTTTGTCTACTAAAACATTTTTTTATTTGCCTAATATTTTTTCAGATATTTGAGGAAAACTTGATAACTTTTTCTCATATTTAACTTACGATATCTCGTTAACTATTTGTCGGAAGAAAAAGTGGTACTAGACTTTTTTGTTCTGTTTAGTCTCAAGAATATATTCTTACAACAGTGCCCTGACTTTTGTTATCTTTCTGACTTTTGGAAATTTCAAAGTCATCAAATTAACAAAAATCAGGGCGCTATTGTAACAATATATATTCTTGAGACTAAATAAAGCAAGAAAGTCTAGTACCACTTTTTCTTCCGACAAGTAGTCAGCGAATCGTAAGTTAAATATGAGAAAAAGTTATCAAGTTTTCCTTCAATATCTAGAAAAATATTAGGCAAATGAAAAAATGTTTTAGACAAGAGTTGTTCAAATTAATTGATAGAAAAAACAGTGTAATAAAAAATATGGGTTACCATTTAAAAAACGCAAGTTGACCTGCAAATGATCTTTAAAGTCATGGCCGAGGTCAAATTCAAGATCACCAACAAGTCCGTTACTCGATTTTCTACCACATTTATATTTAAAATTTTTCATAAAAACTTAATCCTGCAAAGTTATCCGGGGGAGGTTTCGGTATCTTTAAGACACTTTGTATAACGATGGAAACGGAGAAATCGGCACATCTAACGAACAGCCGTCGCACCAGATCAAAGGCGATTCGGAAAACATTTAACAATAGGTAATAGTGCACTAAGTTCTGAAAATCTACACATCTTTGTTCAGAGTTTATGTATGGGAAAAGTTCGCCAAATGTGTGTCCGTCGTTCTAGTTATAAAATTGGAAACTGCAGTAATAACCCGTTACTATTTTTTTCACCGGTCATAAAATTTTATCTCAACCTATGCTTTCGACATCCTAAATCTTCCGGTTGATAAATAAAACATATTGTTCACATTTGTACATATCTCTCTACCTTTTATCTTATTTCGCGATTGTTAAATTAATATTTCCGAGCATTATGCATTTCAATAGAAAAGTAACAGATGCTGGCCGAAATCTGAAAGTATTCGTTATTCCAAAACGCTTTTGATGTATCTCTGAATACGTTTACGAATATTCTGCAGAGTACCGAGCATTATTATTATTGTGTAACGGATTGAATAATTATATATTGATAATAACATTAATAATGCCCGACATTCTTCACAATATCTTTAAATGTAGTACTCAGAAATATGGCAAACGTATTTCAAATGCACGAAAACTCGACGATTTCATGCAAAACTCATTTATTTACTCATTTATTTATTTACCACTCATACAAGATTCCTATAATTGTCAAGAGAAACCACTATAATATTCCCAGCAAACACAATATTACATGTAACGTGCATGTTAGTTGTAATTTCCTACGCAACAATATAACTGTTATATAACACATATGTTATATAACAATTATATTGTTGAGTAATTAAAACTAACATGCACGTTACATGTAATATTGTGTGTTGCTGGGTTGTTTAGGTTTAGGTTTAGGTTTAGGTTTAGGTTTAGGTACCGATTTAGATGTCGATGGCACACACTGCGTATATCAACTGATTACTTCCTAGTTTAAAAAAGGGCGGCACAAATAGTGACACGGAACAATACCTCGTGAACGGTCCATCATAACAGATTCACTCTTCGCAGCATCATTCAAACCGCAACGTTCGCAACATCCACATCATCAAGCCGTGCATCATGAATCATAAAAGTTCCACCAGTGCTATCATCGCTCTGCCCGAAGTGGACAATTTGGAACCCAACAAAAACCAATGGGAGAATTATCATTGCGCCGTGGAGCATCGAATTATAAAGGACCGCCTGGACATTAGGATTTCATATGCTGCAAAATTGGATCTGTTTGCACCATTGTTAATAGAGCAAGAAATCTCCCGCTGGCTGACTGTCTTCATCAGCTCATCAGGGGGGTATTATCGGACGGTGAAAGACTGTCCCTTCCAAGTAGTGCGCTACGTTCGGAAATCATATTATACGTCGGACATTGTGACACATATGATTAGTGTGTTTGCGCTAAACAATTTACATATATTAATAACAAAGTGCCACAGACATATATTAAAATGTGTGTCTCTCTTGAATAATGCGTTAACAACGAGACGACGGTGAGTGCTGCTCATTATACGAGGATAGTAATTGTGACCACGGATCATATGTGATGAACTATTGCCCTCAACAGAGGCCCTGTGATTTGTGCGCACTAGAATTGGAATCGTTTGATTTAAATTATAATTTCGTCACCGATAGCACTGAAATAGTGAATTCTCGAAGGACAACACAACAGCGGGTGCTAGAAATGCACTGGCTCTCTCATCACGACGTCAAGAAAGTTGCTGCTGTCAAGAATGATGCCCCCGTCGAGATTGCAGTAGGGAAAGAGCCGAGCGTCAACAACGACATAAGTATAATTCAATGTATTATATTATTTTACACATTACAGAACATGAAAAATAGGAGGGTCGTCGATTGCTCGCAAAGATCCATTTGCGATCCTCCGTGCGGCGCAAGGATTCAATTAAACTGGATCTTATTTTTTTGCCATGCAGCTCTCATTTACGAGCGTATAACCAGGCCGCGCCGCCGTGGCCGCCCCGCCACCGCTGCCGCCGCCGCGGCCACCGGCTACGCCCCGTTACCATCGACGTCCCAGCGCCGCCGCCGCCGCGGACGCCCCTCCGTCGCGGACGCCGCCGCTGCCGCTGCTGCTACTGATGCTGCTACTGACGCTGCTGCTCTTGTTGCTACTAATACTGCTGCTCTTTCATGCAAGTTCTGCTAGTGAATAAAAAAAAGAAATATATCTTTGGTTATATAACATACCCAGCAAACACGGATATATAACTGTAATATTATCTTAATAAAATGAAATGTAACATGCAATATAACATGCATTAAAAAAATTATATACCATTTTGTAATTTTCTCAATATTTACTCCGTAATTAATAAAAATATATAAGCAAATGAGTACATAGGAAGCGGTAGAATAAGCTCTGTGTAAAAAAAATGGCTTATTTCTTAGCAACGATAAGTAACAGTTGATTTTTCGGTGCGCGACCGTGTTATATACCATTATATATAACCAGTTGAGTTTATTTAATAAGATTTTGGTGACCGAATAAAAACGTCCTTCAGAGATTAACGAGCAATTTATCCACACACGCGTAAAGCCATTAAAATACTTGTAAAAACTCACCTGATTTCTCCTCTTAAATAGTACATACATTCTCTATGTCATTTATCGTGAGAGTTCCTGCGCAATAAGTTACAATCGCAATATCACCGTAAATGATCAATCCATTTCATTAATATCACATACAAAGGGCTTTCAGAACAGTCTCTTTTGTGAAATGTAAAACACGTAGGCGAGGAAGAACGCGAAGGCCAATGCAAGTAATACTTCATCAGTGACTTCGTATTTACCATATTTTCCTAAGAGCTTTCCCGATTGCACTATCACTTGCTCTTGATACTGCAGCTCGTTTCTCGTGTTATCAACCTTGTCAGAGGATATTACTGAAACAACAGCAAAATCGGTAGAATCGTAATAATTATTCTTAAACAGACAATATATAATGAGACGATAATAATAAATAATAATTTATCTAACAAAGAGAGAAATTACATGGTGCAGAAGTAATCCTTGCGGCGGTAACGCTTTTTTCAGGTGATTCTCAAGATTTGAAGGTCATCTTTGTTTTTTTAAATGGAATGCTGTTTCTGAGTTTATTTTTCGATAACAGTTATTAAAAGAAATACAATCACCTATAATAAAGAATGATTCAAAATCAGTTATGATAAAAAAAAACATTTTAATAAATTTTATTACATTTTTAATTAAAACATTTTATTTAAAAAATAACTTAGGAAAAAATGATAAAGGATTTAGATTTTAAAGCTTAGTTTACTCAGAAAATAAAACTTTACTACTATAAGACAATTGTTTCAGTACCATGTATTTTCTGTTAAATATTTTTCTATTCTCACATCTCATATGTTCAAGATATTCAAGATAGGATAATAGCTGCTTCATTCTGCATGATAGATATCTAATAAATTCAATATTTTTATGAAATAATCCAAAAATATAGTACGTACACAATATGTCGAATATATATCAGCACTTCTCTGAGTTGTCTCAGCTAGATGCCTTACGATGCTGAATAATTTATCTGTGATTTGGCTAGAAGAATCTATCAAACTTTATTTGTCTCGTCGTTTACGAAGAGCATTTTGCCACTCCTCTGGCAAGAAGAGCAGATTCTCTCTAGCTAATTTATGACACAAGTGCTAACGACATTAGCCTTGCGAAAGACCACCAAGAACATATTTAATTGTTCCTTATAGCTCTCAACGATGGACAACAACTCAGTCTTCTTCTTCTCATTTGGTTCGGTTTCAGCAACAGACGCTAATCGCCCTATGGAGGATTCTAACACCGCAATTTTGGTCGTACCTTCGGTATTGAATTTGTCTAATGCTTTCAACAGTCCAGTGCATTGTCATATGTCCTTAACAGAAAATACATGGTGATTTATTTGGCTCATCAGAATATAATTCCTAACATATTATTTATTATTGTAAATATGATCCTACTATTTATTATTGTAAAACATGATGTTAATTTTCTCTTCTTCTTTCCTTCTTTTTCCAGAATTGATGTTAATCTAAAGTTGAGATTGAGGTTATATCTCATAGTTTATGAGATAGAATCACACATATATATATATATATACATATATTTACTTGTATTAAAGCGTTCACTTGAAGATGATCCTTCACAATATCCTGACATATCAGTTCCAGACATCAACACTTGATGTCAACTCTTGCGCGGAATTTGTTCGCTCAGGTTTGGCTATCTGGGTATAATGTTACCTGAAAGAATCTGCTGTGGCTAATCTCCACAATGCTGATAAAAATTGTTTATGTGTGGATCAATCATTGGTGTTCCGACTCTTTCTCTACGTAAATTTGGCTCAATGATGGATAAAATGTGGTCAAATGTTGCAGGAGATATTCTAAATCATGCATTAATTAACTATTATATGTTACATCTTTAAGTAAGTCAACTAATATGTTTTATATTACTGTTCATATTGCAATACTTAAAATGAGCCTTAAATTGCGGGTCACTAAAGTGCTGGCACTATTAGCTGAACATAATTCTCCACTCTGGGCACGTTTTTACGTCTTCTTATACACCTTGTAATTAATTCTAATTCTACATCGCTATCGGAAGACGATGATGTTTCTAATAAATCACGCACTGTATGTGTCAAAATAGCTAACACTGTGTTTTTTTTATTTTGCATTCTCTTTTCATATTACCGCTAAAATACTACCGACTTATGCCGTGTTCCACAATTCACCGCCAGTACTAAAAATATATAGTTTGTGTCACGCAAACTATAACTTTTCAGTGCTGGCGGTGAATTTTGGAACACGGCATTATTAGTTCTCTGAACAGAGTTTGTAGTATTTGATAGCGTTAGCGTTTGCAGTGCGCTCCCCGAACGCACCCTATATGTGACATGCATGCGTGATATCCAATGAGTTTCTTCGACACGCAACGCTCATTGGATATCACGCGTTGCGCCTCGCGTATCGCGTCGTTCGTCTGCGATCTGCGAGAACGCGAGTTACACGACATTTTGTCGAAAACTAGATGGGAAAATGCTGGTACGAACGAAAACCCCCTGGACAACACAATTTTAATTTCTGCGAATTAGTAAAACCAGCGGCACACGGTGCTTGTTTTCGTGCTGGATTGCTTGCTGGACGAAAATACTGCGTTCTGATTGATGCATTTTTATCCATCTTCGGAAATGTACCAATCGCGAACGCAGTATTTTCAACCAGCAAGTAGTTCAGCACGAAAACAAGCACCGCTATGCCGCTGACTTAGAGCTTAGGCTGCGTTCCAATATTCACTGCTAGCACTGCAAATCTATAATATACGTGACACAAACCATATACACTCAAACGCAAAAAACCCGGTACACTAAAAATTTGGGAAAAAATTACAAAACTTCAAATGATCATAACTTGGTAAATAATGAAGATACAAATATGCGCAGAAATGCAAAATGAAGCTTGAAACGTCCTCTTTAAGAATATCTGAATGGCAATTATGCTCGGCCATTTTTTTCAAAATGGCGGATGATAAAGTGAGAGGATGCAAAATTTATAATCAAAGGTCCGTGTTTGCGATGGTACATGGTGTGCATCAGGTATCGCAGCGTAATGAGACCAAATGCACATGAAAGTATAGAGTGTTATTTTTAAAATGCTACTTTACCGAGCTCGATATGAACATTTTTCACTGAGTTGTTCCAAATTTTGCTAAAAATGCGGTTTTCTTGTTAAATTTGCATAATTCAGTGAATAAATATCGCATCAAGCTCTATAACGAAGTATTTTAAAGAAAACATTCTATACTTTTAGGTACTTTTCGTCCCATTGAGCTGCGACACTTACTTTGCTCCATGCGCTGTCGCACGCTCGAACCCTTTTTTAGCAACTTTTCATGTTCTCCTTTTTATCACCCGCTATTTTGAAAAAATATTGTTGCGCACAATTTCGATAGATCTTTCGAAAAGTACGGATTCAAAGCTTTCAAACCGTTTTTGAAATTTGCTGCTAGGATATTTAGGTGTCGAGATATTCAATTTCGAATTTGCAACAAATGTCGATTCAGCCAGGCTTAAGGGGCTAAGAGGCTCTGCGGTTCGTTTGGCTCTTTCATAATTTCAATAGCCGCGTTCATTATTCTCTATACAATAATTTACACGATTTTGCGAATTGGAAATTTAATTTTTATCAAAAGTTATCATTCTTTACCCTTCAGTTACGCATGATCACTGTGGTATACACTTTAGTTCGCGAAGCTGTCCCTAGCTCTCTACCTTCTCCGTACGATTGGCCATTATGGTACACAGCTTGAATATGCTCTTCAGGATCGCGCCTGAGTTCGCGGTGACCCCGCGCGCGGGAGTCGCTGGACGCCACCTGAACGTCGAAATTCCCTGGCGCTCCTAGTCCACGGAGCCGCCGCGACGCGGCGATCTGGGTTGTCGCGCGTGCGAGCCCCTCGGCTCGCACGCGAGTTCGAGCTGCCCAGGGCATATAAGAGTGCCCGTGGAGACGATCAGAGATTGCCTTCGTACAACTTTTGGCCTTCGTACGGTCCACCGCCGATAGTGGCACTATCTCTTGTCCGCTGGACTTCGCGAGTTTGTCAGTACGCCGGGCTTACGTTCTGGCTTGACTGAGATTCTGTCGGTGCGCCGGGCTTTAACGCCTGGTTTGACTGGATTTTTCTTAAATGTATGTGCCAAGACAATAAACAAAGACAAACAATTTTCCTTTTCCGAACGTGTTCACTCCGATAAGCACTGTCTCGTGCGACTTTTCTTTTTCCGTGATCTTTTCCTTTAGAGGCGCGTTGCTTCGTGCAACTTCATCAATTTAAATCATAATTGATTGTTTCGCATCGAAATTATTGCGTCGATTATGGCGACGATAAATCCTGAAAAGGCTGCTCAAGTTATTGCTTTAATTGAAGATGGCAGAAGTCGAAGGTACGTTGCTCAGGCACTTGATTTGTCAGTGTGAACTGTGCAACGTGCTTATGTCAAGTATTTACAAACCAATTCTTTCCATAGAAGGTCTGGTTCGGGACGTCCTCGATGTACCAATCACAATGATGACCAATTTATTGTTTCAAATTCGTTAAGAGACAGACATCGAACATCTGTTCAAATTAGAAACAATTTAAGGGATGTCCGCAACATTAATGTATCCGTTAACACCGTTCGGAGCAGATTAAAAGAACAAAATCTGCTTTCGCGTAGGCTAGCAGCTGTACCTTTGCTTAAATGTCATCATCGCGTAGCTCGACTCAATTTTGCAGTTGAGCATAGAGACTGGACTTACGCAGACTGGAGCAAAGTACTCTTTAGTGATGAATCTCGTTTTTGTGTCTATTCTCCAGATGGACGAGAACGAGTTTATCGTCGCGGTGGAGAACGATTTGCAGACTGTACGGTAAGTGAGAGGCATAGCTACAATGGAGGCTCTGTAATGATTTGGGCAGGAATTTCAGCTAATGCTCATACAGATCTGCACTTTTTTGACAAGAATATGAACGCAGATGTATACGTGGAAGACATACTCATTCCGTATGTTGTTCCGTACGTACCCTTCATCGGAGAGAACTTCTTGTTTATGCAAGACAATGCTCGACCACACACTGCGAGAAGAGTGCTTGATTTCTTCGATGAAGTTGGCATAAATCGACTCGATTGGCCAGCAAATAGTCCAGATTTAAATCCAATCGAACACTTATGGGACAACCTCGGCAGGAAAGTACGAAATCACGTACCTGCTCCTCAGTCACTGCGAGAACTGCGAATAATTCTCGAAAACGAATGGAATACAATTACGCAGGATGAAATTAAAAGACTAATAAGGAGTATGCCTGATCGTATGAATGAGGTAATACACGCACGAGGCAGTCATACCCATTATTAGTACACACACACCACACACACAGCAGAGAGAGTTTGGAGTCATTAATTACTGCAGGAATGACGAACTGCGGGGTCCTTATCTCTGCTGTAACACCACACACACACACACACACACACACACACACACACACACACAACACACCACAAGGAGGGTCTGAAATCTTGAAATACTGTGGAGCTGACGAACCACGGAGTCCTTATCCTTGTGGTATACAAACACACACACACACACTACATACAATGGGACTTTTCCTACCAGTAAGATTCCGTGCAGTTTATATTGGGAAGACACAACCATAATTTGAGCTAATCACAGCGGTATCTTAAAACGCAATTCATCTTTATTACGTAATATCGATTACGCAAAATGAAGAACCTAAATTGAATTTTACTTTCATTTCCCTGGCTTTCAAAATAATAAATGAAAATCATTGAATATATTTTGCTGGTTATGTAAATTATTATATAGAGAAACATGAACACAGCTATTCTAATTATGAAAGAGCCAAACGAACCGCAGAGCCTCTTAGCCCCTTAAGCCTCGCTGAATCGACATTTGTTGCAAATTCGAAATTGAATATCTCGACACCTAAATATCCTAGCAGCAAATTTCAAAAACGGTTTGGAAGTTTTGAAACCGTACTTTCCGAAAGATCTATCGAAATTGTGCGCAACGATATTTTTTCAAAATGGCGGGTGATAAAAAGGAGAACATGAAAAGTTGCTAAAAAAAGGTTCGAGCGTGCGACGGCGCATGGAGCAAAGTAAGTTCGCAGCTCAATGGGACGAAAAGTACCTAAAAGTATAGAATGTTTTCTTTAAAATACTTCGTTATAGAGCTTGATGCGATACTTATTAACTGAATTATGCAAATTTAACAACAAAACCGCATTTTTAGCAAAATTTGGAACAACTCAGTGAAAAATGATCATATCGAGCTCGGTAAAGTAGCATTTTAAAGATAACACTATACTTTAATGTGCATTTGGTCCCATTACGCTGCGATACCTGATGCACACCATGCACCATCGCAAACACGGACCTTTTTTGATTATCAATTTTGCATCCTCTCACTTTATCATCCGCCATTTTGAAAAAAATGGCCGAGCATAATTGCCATTCAGATATTCTTAAAGAGGACGTTTCAAGCTTCATTTTTCATTTCTACTCATATTTGTATCTTCATTATTTATCAGGTTATGATCATTTGAAGTTTTTAATTTTTTCCCAAATTTTTAGTGTACCGGGTTTTTTGCGTTTGAGTGTATTTCCAGTACTGACAGTGAATTTGGAACATAGCCTTAGACTCCATATATGCGGTAGAGCTCCGACAAATGCTGCGATGACCAATCAGGAAACAGGTGCAGGTCCAGCTGCGGCTCCGGCATGCGCCTGTCTTCTGATTGGTCACTGCAGCATTTGCCGGAGTTCTACCGCATACATGCGTTATGCAGAAGTCTATGCTCTGGCCCTAGAGTGTCGTCTACAATGGCAGAAAATAGTAAGAC